TAAAGCAGATGAGAGTCTGAACAGATCTAATGAGATTTTAAAACATTTTTAATTGGTTTAGTTCAGGGACAAGCTCAGCATCATTATCTCCTGCCCAAAGTCAGAAAATAAAACTGCACACTTTTGACCCAAAGCCTCCCTCTCACCCTTGATGTTTCATCTTTCACCGATGCCAAAGACACCCATGCTTCTATGAATTTGTTCTCAACCAAATCAGCAAACAGTGTTTCTACACCTACCACTTTTCTCTCTCTTTAAGTCAAGTGGAGAGACAACTGGAGACACAGGATCACACTAAGTTACCAGGCCCAGAATGTCCATCCCCAGAGTCATAAATGCCTACGCGTGTGCCAGATCAGCTCCATATGATTCTACAACACCTCTTCAACCTTTGCCTGACTTAGTCGGTCACAGCAATGTGGAAAACCTCCTGCCCTTTTCAAGTACCAAGAAAATAACAACCAAAAGGTGCCCTTACTTTTGAGATCACAGAGAGACTTCTGTTGGTAAGCAAGCAAACATGCAGCTATCAGGACCCCCTGCAATTTGCCTATTGCCATGTAGATGGAGTTAAAGATGCCATCATACACTTATTTCCAAACACCCACTGTCATTTGGACAAGACAGATAGCATTGTGAAGATCGTATTCTCAGAATTTTCCAGTGCATTTAACACAATTCAGCCTTTGTCTGTCAGCAACATCAGAAGACTCAGGTTTGAGCCTGAGTCCTTTGTGATTACAGATATTAACATACACATGTGAATTAAATTGTCAGCAAAACTTGTTTTATGAAAGACAAACCTGCAATGGTCACATATATAACTTAAACATGACATAAGTAATATTGAATACAAATTAACAAATTTAAGTCAGTGGTATGATTTAAAAAATAAACTCATGAAACAGGCATGAACAAACATGGTGGTACTTCTAACAAATATTGATAATAATGTGACTAAAGAGACATGTTAAGTCAAGGTTTGTCTGCCAACTAGCAGCACAGGTGCCTACAATATTGTAATCAGTCAATAGGCCTATATATAGGGCTACTCATAGTAGCTGTGCTATTTGGTGACATGGTGTATCACTCAACAGACACCAAAGAAAGAAAAGGAAGTTGTCCCAGGAGATTAGAAAGAATATCATGGATAAGGATGTTAGAGGTACAGGCTATAACACTGAGCAGCTTGATGTTCCTGTTACTACAGTTGCACTTATTCAAAAAGATCCATTTGTCTATAGCCAACCTCCCTCTCCATGGCGGCAGGGGGGAAGTTGATGGCAAATCAAAGGGACAGATAGTACAAATGGTAGCAAAATTGCCCAGAAACACTGCTAAAGAGATTGTAGATTAACTTCAAGCTCATGGAACACCAGTTTCGTTGTTGTTTTAAGTGGACTTAATCTGAGTTAAGGTGCACAGCATTGTTGAAAACAAATCATATAAAACACAGAGTTGAATTTGCCAAACTACATGTTGATAAGCCACAAAGCTTCTGGGAGAGAGTTCTATGGACAGATGAAAGAAGTTTTTGCCAAGGCACATAAGCTCTATGTTAACAGATGGAAACATGATGCATATCAAGAAAAGAACACTTTCCTGATAGTGAAACATAGAGAAGGCTTGGTTATGTTTTGGGGCTAATAATAATAATTTAACTTTATTGATCTCACATTGGAGAAATTTACCTCTGCATTTAACCCATCCCCTTAGGGAACAGTGGGCTGGCATTGTGTGGCGCCTGGGGAGAAGTATGGGGTTAAGGGTTTTGCTGAGTGGAGGCTGTGGGGATCGAACCATGTACCTGCAGTCCTCTCAGACCACAAGTGCACTACTCTAACCCAATAGGCCAACACCAATTAATGGTCGTGAGGTGTAAAATTACACCTCACGACCATTAATCGATTCAAGAGAGAAATGTGCTGCTCAGTCTTTGTCAGAAAACTAGGTTTCAGTTGCTACAGGATATTTGCCCAAAAAAACACATTTAGAGAAACCCAACAATGGCTAAGACGCCTTCTATATGCTCTCTCCTATATCCTTTTGAAAGAAAAGAAAAAACATAACTTGCTAAAACATTTAATTTCCCTTTTAATTGATCATTTTACGGGCACATCCCTTTGAGTGGACAGCATTGGACAGTACCAGAACCTGCTGATAACTTTGTCCTGGGAAAACCTCTGATGTTCAGACCCTTTGGAAGAGGAGGGTAGTTTCACTACGCTAAGGATGGGCTTACTGAAACCATGCTGATAGACAGATAAAAGTACTAATTACTTTTCCTGGATATTTGAGTTTAAAAAGGCAGGAAGCATAGCATGTTACTGTGGACAACAATTACTGTTGAACATTTTAAACATGACAGCTAATTTTGTTATAAAGTTCCTTTACCTACATAGACTTTTTTGTACACAGGATTGTTTCCACACTGTTGTAACTTTGCCAAAGTATAAACAAAGAATAACATGGAAAACTGTGGGGGGGCATCTATGTAAACCATAGTTTCCATTATTATAATCCTGTTTGCAAAAGGGGAGTGCCATTGTTTCAGTTACGCCGAAACCTGGCTTTTACTCCTACATTACACAACACTCCTTAAGCATTCAGTGCAGTGACGTTAGAGATATCATCTGCATCAACAGAAGCTTTGTTCACCATATTGCATCATTCCATATAAGTGGGTTTAGTTGGTCCCTCTGGTTGTGCTTTAAGGCCTAGCTTGGTATCACAGCAGGGTTGAAGTGAGAGTTTAAAAAGAAAATGTCCTGGTTTGGAAGTGCAGTAGGAAAACCTTGGTTTTCTTTTGGAAAAAGGCCACAGTGTGACACATTACTTTACAAGGGTCTTTTGAGAATGCTGTAATAGATCTCACTATATTTTCTTTTTTTGTGTTTTTTTTGTTGTTTTTGTTTTGAGATTTTGCTTGGAGACCAGAAACTGTTTAGAGATGTGCTCTTGCTTAATATTTTGACCCTCTCTTCTGATATTTGTGTTAGCACAAACAATTTGATGACTCTATCCATCTGAAATGAAATTATTGTTTATGTTTTCTGAGGTTTATATTCATATTAGTAACTGCTAGTAATTGCTGACAGGAGATACATTTACTTTCTTTAGTTATGAAAGAATAAAATCAAAAACTTAAAATCTATAATGAAAAAAATATTCATTATTTACCACATTTTTATGTTTACATAAAAATTGTTAAGGAGGTTGTAAAAAGCCACACTTTATATTATACAGACTTCATTCTTTTATATTAGGTTTATTTTCTGAATTATGCAAATATTCTTTAGGAGTAATGTACTGTTAAAAAGTCAAGGCGAAACAGTTTTCTGCAGTGGCCAAAGGGGGAAACGCAGAAAAAAAGTAATGGATAGATGAAAATAAGAATTGCAAACAGAAAAATAAAACTGACACACAAATACAACACATGTATAGGAGAATCCTACAAATAAGAAATGCTGCAATAACAGGGAATAGTGAGCAGCAAAGTGTGGATGTGCTGCAAGCACATAAACATAAAAAAGATAACATAAAACCCATTGGAAATGCCTAAGCAATAAAAACATACAAAATGCATGCGATAGTCCCCTATGAATAGGTGGTTGTCTGTCTGTAGCAATACCATTATCCAGAGCTTTTTTGAAATATTTCTTTTTGTTTTTTTGTATTGAGTTTTGTAATACCTTTGCTACTCTCTGTATTTTAAGATTTAGCATTTCTCTTTAGCAGGGTTTTTTTGGCACCGATAATGGCAGTGCAGTATCAGCCGATACCGATGCCATACCGATACCATCTGTTTGAAATTGATGTTTGTGTGTATATATATATATATATATATGAAGAACTGCATACTACTTGGATGTAAAACAATAGCCATCATGGCTTTGTCAAGCTGATGCCTACCTTTGTGAAGCAGGAAAAAGACTAATACAAGTGAATCCAGTAGAACACTTTGTTGCCTACCTGGAATGGGTGACAATAGTTGATTAAACTTTTGCCTCTCAAAATGGTATCAGTGCCCTATTTGATGGTACTCGACGATACCGATACTACCATTTTTGTGCAGTATCAGGGCCCTGTCCGATGCTGGTATCAGTATTGGTTTAACACTAGTGTTTTTCCTTTACAGATGTTTTCTGCGTTAGTCTAATTTTCATTTGCTCTATGTTTATGTATTTGCAGTGCGTTTGCACCTCTTTGCCACTATGAACTTAATTTGTAGAATATTGTAAAAGAAAATAAATCACTCCTGCTTATCTGCTGTCAGAAACTTGGCCACTGGATGGCAACCCACCCCAGATACTGTTTACTCCACAGTTTAGCTTACTCATAAAATAGTCATCACTTTGTTTTTAAAATAGAGAGAATGGTACTCACTCTGATTCAAAAAAACAGGCGTACCCTTCCCACACACCAACTCAACACACACATACACCTCAGGGCAATGTACAGTAGTGAAACCCATTAACCTAACCTGACATAGACCTTTTTTTGTTTTTGTTTTACTGTATGGGGAAGCCAGTGTACCTGAAGAGAACTCAAATTGTACATTTACTTGAAATGTTGGAATGTAAAAATTTCCCTTGAGACCTATAATAACAGTACAACCCTTGACTGTTCACTGTTGCCTCTGGCTATAGCCGTCAGGTCTTCCAAGCTTGGATTTCTTACTTTGCATTTGTTCTGTAGGCTTTATATATATATATATATATATATATATATATATATATATATATATATATATATATATATATATATATATGTATATATATATATATATATATATATATATATATATATATATATATGTATATATATATATATATATATATATATATATATATATATACATGTATATATATATATATATACATGTATATATGTTTTTCAATGTCACATGCCTGAAGTTGCATTCATTTTCAAACGTTTTTTTGTTGTTGCATATATTTAATATGAAGATCACTGTTGACGTTCTTGCTTCTGTCTTGCAGGTGTTTGAAAAACTGAAAGACCACATGCTGATTCCTGTGTCCAATTTGGAAAAGGTTAAAGTGGATGGGGCACTCACATGCTGCTCAGTCCTCATCAACAAGAAGACAAACATCTGAGCATGCTGACTGGGCCTTTCAGTGCACTTTGATCAAGCACTGTATTTGGTACATAGCTTAATGTTGATCAAAGATATTGAGGTACATGGAAGAGAGAAGCACTTTTTGTGTTTTTATTCCATAAACTCTAGTGGAAGCTATTAGGATATTACTAAAATTACATTAAGACTTGGTGAAATGATTAAGATACAACATTGGGTTACCAATGTCTCAAAAAAAAATCTGAATTTGGACATAAATATAGCAGTATTGTTCTCTAACATTTAGACTGACTGTGTTCAACATAAAAAGCCGACAACAGAGCAAAAATGGCTATTTCTTATAATGTAAAATCTGATTTGTAATCATTACAGGAATATATGTGCCATTTTGATTCAGATCATTCAACCTGCTTCTGTTTTATAGCATTAGTGTTGATTAGTCTGTGAATGCAATTTCATGTATATGACCATTAGCTCTTATTCCTTAAATACCTCTTTTTAATTTTATGCCTACATCTTAATAACACTGTTCTAAAAAAAACAAAAAAACTGTAAGACAAAACAATTGTTAAAAAGAAGTATATAGAGTTAGCCTATATTGTTTATGTGCATCATTTTAAACCTTGATTTACCTTTTGTATTTTTGTGCCTAATTAGTTTGAAATATTTTTAACAGAAAAATTCTGGACCAAGATGAAAGAAACCAGTTTAGCTAACACTAACGCCTAAACCATAGCTGCAAATATTTGCTTTGCCCCTTTTTTGCAAACTTTTGACTGGTTCCATACACATGGTGCTAAATCTAACTGAAACCACTTCAACACATGCTTTTCAAAAGAGCAATGTAGCAACTGCCATGTTTGTAATTCTGAAAATCTGTTATTTAAGAAGCTTGAAAAGTCTTCTGCTGTGATGATTGTAATATTCTTATACCTTAAAATCTTATGTTGATATCCAGTTTACTGAAATTCAGAATTCATAAGCTGTTTTGTTTTTGTATGAGAGTGCAGTTTGCTTTGTGATACTAACAGCACCATCACTTAAAACATTTTTTTTTTGTAAAAAAAAAAGCACACAAAAAAATAGAGGCTAGTTAAGAATTCACTGTGCCATCCAAGTATTAATTTACTTTGAACTTTTTTTTTTTTCATTTTGCCATGACAACCACAAATATAATAGCATTTCCTTTTAATGTAATTTGATGAAACAATAGAAAGCAGTGCATAGCTAAGAATAAAAATTAGACTTGGTTACTTTTTTTCTCATTTCTCTTTACAATAAAAGCATGAAAGATTTTGCAACATTAAACCATCCTTACTCTGATACCCTTAAATAGCTTCTATTGGAACTAGGTACCTTTAGAAATCTCTTTATTAGTAAATAAATATACCTTTATGTACTAAATATTGATGTTAATACAGTTGTTCTGTTGTAGAACATGTGTAATAAATCATTACTGGATAACCATGAAGATAAAGGAATACATGTGTCAGACATAAAGTCGGGAGAAATGTAAGTGAAGATTAGCTTATACCATAATATCAAAAAAATACTAATAATAATTTCAGGTTATGGGTTAACGAAAGAGTATGGCACAACTGAAAGCCTACAGATATTAGGCCAAAGTCCAAACTGACACATCAGCAAGGAAATCAATTAGACAAGCAGCCATGTAGCCCATGGTGCCTCTGAAGGAGCTGTGGAGAGCCACAGCTCAGGTAGGGGAATTTGCTGATAACGCAGCTAGTTGTCCACTCCCCAAACCAGGTCTTAACAGAAGAATGATCAGAAGCAATGTATGGGGACAAAGGTGTTCTACTCAAATAAGAACAACATTGAGTTTCTTGAACTCTCGACCTCAGTGAAAAATGCTTTCTTTGGAAAAAACTTTTGTTTCTGAAGAGTCAATTCCTATTTTAAAATAAGGTGGTTGTAGCATCATACTGTACTTTGAGGATGCTTTACTTTAGCAACAACTGGTACGAAGTGATGGGAATATGCAGATATCTAATGCAGGGCAATCCCAGGATTGAAACCTGTCTGGGATAAAGGGGTGTCCATTACTTGTTGCTAGAATACAAATAATATGCTAAAAAATGGATTGGGATGTGACAAAATGTAAAAAAGAAAAAAAGTTCAAGGGCATTGTATTGTTATAGAATGATAAACTCAACTTTTATATGAAGCAACTCAGCAACCCTTCCTACTTTTGCCTGTGCCTTTGTGGAAAATCAATTACTTTTCTCCCACTGAATGACTCTGAGGTTGCTGCACTTTCCCCAACATCATTAGTTCTGCCTATGCTTTTGATTACACTGCTTGTTTGTTTTTCCTGGTTTGCAGTTTTTTCCTTCAAAGACGGATGTATGCCATCCTCTCAGCACTCTGTTGCAAAAATCTAACAGGACCAAATGTGATTGGTCTGTGCAGTTCGTTTTCAGAGCCTGTTAACCGCAACTGTGCGATGGTTTCCCAATATGAGCCTCCATAATATTGTTGCTGCTTAAGTAGCTTCATTTCCGTTGCTGGCGAAATCGTGTCTTAGGCCTGTAAACATGACAACCCTCTAAATACAAACATGTGCTCTATAATAAACCATAACCCTGTATGTCCATCACATCTGAGGCCACTCTGCTTTTTGGTGTGATTGTCTGTGAACGTTGAGGTAATGACATCAGGAGGTGACTCAACCTCCCCCCATAGACGTTAGCGTATGGGCAAGTGGGCAGTGATGAAACATGGAAAGAATTCATGTTGGGAGGAAAAGCTGCTTGGCGAGTAAACACTGGCTCTTTTTAATGTTCTCTTTCTCTTGCCTGTCTCACTTTAAACACATTCTGTCTCCCACCTTTCTCCTAATGCCTCATGGACAACTTTAAACAAATTTACGACTGTGACATCATGCAGCTTCCTAGACTCCATGGATGAGATGATCTGCTGCTGCTAATGTGATAGCAAACAGTAGTAGGACAGAGTTTTCTTTCTAATGCTTGAGCTGCTGTGAGATGATCCAATATACACAGACTGTTATACAGAACCAATGCAGTTATATTGAAAAAGTCTTTCATTCTGGCCACAGATAAAATCTGAATTAGATCTCAAGCTCTAAAAGGATCAATAATTATGGATTTACACCATTTTATCAATGTCATCAACCATTCTCAGTGTTACAGTTTTATTGTTTCATCTCAGGTGTTTTGAATTTAATTCCAATTTGTTGGACACTTCTTTGAAGTTTTTCCCTCCAGTTTTATGAATAAATTGACATTAGCTTTCACCTGTGTTTTGAGTCTTTTTTATATTTGAGTTAAAATCACTTATAGAACTAATAATGTTATCTTTATCTTTATATTTTAAACTGGTATGGATGAAGTTGAAAAGATCTGAAGGCTGTAAAAAATGTAAATTTGTGGTTATGGTTTAACAGTAGTGCTCTTGCAGTGTCCCCGGTTGTAAGAACACATTTCAGCATGTTGATATTTGCTGCTACCTAGTGGCATCAAACACTTATGACAGATCAGAGCCTAGGGTGTATCATGCTTTTCCAGAACTGATTCCTTTCTTCTGGTTGCCTGTTCTTTTGAGTTTATTTTCTTCTAAATAAGCAGAATTTCTACTGTGAAATAAATTTCGATATAAACTATGCAAAGATGGATGGATGGATGGATGGATGAAACTTTATGGTAATGACTTAATTATAATTGTAAGTTTGAATAATTTATCACATATTTTGTTTTATTTCTCTGAACTACTATAAACTGTGTTAAAACTTAAGTCAAATAAATGTAGATTTTTTTTTAGATTTTTCCCATTTTTATATATTACCATGCATAATAATTCTGAGAGCGTTTATTTTTTTAAATTTCATATTTATTTTTCATAACAACACATTTCTGTTAATTACACAAGCTTTGAATTATTACAGTAATGCTTTACCTAAAATAATATCAGTGATAAACATTTTTTGACATTTCATTCATTTTGAAATAGTTGTTCATCCTGGTAGGCGTATAGTACTACAACAGATAAATAAAAATGTTTGCACTTGTCCATTACTGTAGAACAATAAACAAATTGCTATTTGCAGAACTTAATGCCAAATAAAGCTTAATCAGATAACCTGGAACACCTGCTGATGTCCCTCGCTCAAGCTTCGACCAATGGAAGATGGGCCGCACCCTCTCCGAAGCCAATTGTTTGTCAAGAAGTTCATCATTCAGACGAAGGCCCAGCTTCCCCATTCAGTGCTTCAGCTGAACTTCGACCATTCTCCCTCTCTCGTAGTCTAAGCATGGGGGTAAGACTACTCTATTCCCTTTCCTAAGTCATTCATCCAAGCTCATGTTGATTTACAGCGTAATGTCTCCTGCTGGGTTCTGACAGGCAAATAACTTTTTGATTATTCATGTCAATAATATCTTTCTAATTGCGTATTTTCTCTTTGAGTCTCCAAGTTGGAAAGAATATAAAGGCTACAGTAGCTCTACCTATTGTACGGTAGTTTTGCCCTTTGGTAGTTACACTGGATAAGGTTGCTCCTAAAAATCCCCTTTGCTTCGAAACTTTAATGTTCAGTATCATCTTCAATATACCTTGGAAAAACAACAACAACAAAAAACATAACAAAATCCCTCTGCCAGTGAAAACTGTGTGTTAACGATAGTACATATTGCTTGGTAACACGTCTTAAGTGAAAATAGTATCTCGTAGTTTCTATGTGAACTGCTTTCCTTTTGTACAGTGAATATAAGTTGGAAGCACTCTTGTTACAGGTTTATGTAAGTGGAAGGTTACTGTAAGGATTCCGTGCACCCTTTCCATTTGGGACTTTATAATTAATGCCATCTGTACCCTGGGCCATGGGTACGTAAGACCCGTTAGAGTAGTTGTTGCAAGAGCAGGGCTTAAGACATAGACATGTTTTAATTAGCTTATTTCCTGTCTCAGGATCTTCTCCATCATTACACTGCTCATACACATAACAGTTTTCACTGAGACAGAAAACGGAAAGATCCTTATTTAGAGTTACGTAATCTCGGAGGACTTCATCCCCAGAACTTCCATTTGTCTGTTCTTCTGTGGAAAAACTTCCATCGGATGAGAGAAGGTCGGATGATTCTTTCCAACACTTGTCCAGTCCTGGAACCGTGTCACCAGACATGATCTCCACCACAGATGAGGCTGTTACTTCAAAGGACAGTTTTTCTGTGACTGGAGGACCCTGTGATGTAAGTACAA